ATACCCCTGCCGCCGCCCATGTGTCGTGCAAACATGTCAATACCAATGCACGATTGTAACTTGCATCGTAAGATTCATGGTGTATAGCATCTGCTTTTTTTTAGAACGCGTCCGTTGACACGTGTTTCGTTAAGACGAGTGTGTATAGCATCTGCCGACACTAAGTGAGCATACATCGTATCACCAATGCCGATCCAAGTCTATTTTGTGAAGTCTTTTTTCAATGGAAATGCTATTTACTTGAGTGTTTCTAAGTGCATTTGGCTCTCTATGTAGATTTTGGTGTATTAATGACAAAAACAATTTAGTGATTAACCTTGCTTATTAGTATTGTAGTCCAATGATAAGGGAGCAATAGAGATAAGGAAGAAGAGTTGAAGGTGAAAAAAGGGTAGAGGGGTCATGTAGAGGTACACCGTACCAAAGGTGATGACGAAGAGAAGAAAAGAAAATGGTAGTTACGAGGACCCTCCAATTAACTACATTAAACCAAACTGTCAATCATTGATCATACTCGATTTAATATAATTAACATATCTTTCTCTCGGTCACACCATCTATGCTATCCGTAATGCACAGAAATACATATGATCAATATATATGAGAGCATATACTTCAGATCAAGTTAACGCATTGAATTTAGTTTAAGTTTACAACACAAGTTTCACCATCACACTTGGTTCTTACAACAAACCGCAACCGAAGTCTAAAATTACGATAAGATACATCTTATGGCTGGTTCATGCGACCACCACTTGCTATGCTACTCAAGGGTGTCCATCATTCCCCCATACCTACCAAAAGAGGGAATGGGAGCGCAAAAGTGCCGGTAAATAGAGGTTGTCTTACATGCAACACAACTCAAAGATAACAAACACCATGACTCCATGAGTACAAGAAACGTACTCCACAAGTGAGCATAAGGTGTGAGAAGTGGACACCTCATAGGTTGCATGCTCCAGTGTTAGTGTGTCCTGGTGAATCGTCCGGTTCCTTGTGGGACCGTGTATTGGTATATAATTTTTTATAGCCGTCTATAGCTAAAATAATAATAGACTGTCAGACCACCGATGGCTCAGCCACATTATTCGTCAGTGTATAGAATTACCCATTTCAGCAATACATAGCATGAATTTTATTTCCATTTGTCTAGAGCCCGGCTCATCTAGGCGTGTTGCGTGCGACCGGTGGAAGTTTCGTCACCTCCCTTCTCTTTACCAACAAGATTCTACGGCGCCCACGCCATCCTCCTCACCTCCGGCTACCTCTCCTCCCGCGCCTCCGCCAACTCCCTCCTCCGCGCAGTCCCCTCCCCCTTCTCCTGCGCCTTCATCCTCCGCCTCCTTCTCCTCCACCTCCTTTGACCTGACCACATCTCCTTCTCCCTCCACTCTTGCGCCCGCACCGTCGTCGTCCCCGTCAGTACCTGGAACCCTCTCACCGCCCTCTTCCACTCACTCGCCCTTAGACTGACTCCAACAAGAAACACATATGGGCACCCAAACCCAAAATGGGTAGCAAAAGACCTAAAATCAGCCTTCAACAGAGTACCTATACGGGAGACCTATTTTGGGTTGCCTGAGAGGCACACCCCAAATATGGGCATCCTCTCTTCTAAAAATCCATTTGCAGAAATGATTCTCTTTTGGGTCTTGTTGTTGGAGAAGATGCCGAATATGTATTGAATTTTTTGCCTGTAGCGCTATCAAAGGATGAATGGGTCTTTGTATTTTGGGTGTTGTTGTTGGAGATAGCTTTAGACTCGGCCACGCTCGCGACGTCTACGTCGCCAACACCGCCGTCTCCTGCACCCCCGTCGTCGATTCGTCATGCCTCTCCCAGGGATGCGGTCGCCAGCTGCGGACCAGACGACGGCGTCGACGAGCTGGTGCACGCGCGGGCTGGAGCTAGCACGCGCAAGCGGTCTCTAGCTTGGCACGACGGGTGAGGGAGCGGAGGCACAGTTGGAGCTAAAGGATCGGGTCCAGTAGGCAGCCGCGGAGGTGGATGCGCTCAGGTCGGTGGAGCTCATGCGCCCGCACCGCTCCACTGTCCCCCTCAACGCCACCGCTAGGCGCCGCTAGGGTTGCGGCCGTCATGCTCTCGGCTGAGGAGGTCACGTGCGACATCGAGGACCTCGGCTGGCGTGAGTGCCCCGTCGGCTCCCTCCTCTTCGTCCGCGCCGGGATGCGGTCGCCCGCCACCGTGGTGGCTGAAGCCCCCATCCCCATCCCCATTTGCGCCATTTGCTGCTGCCGTGCCGGCACCTGTGCCTGTGCAACGCGTGCGAGCCGAGGATAGATCACCCGTGCCTTCTTGTGGTTGAGCTGCTCACGCATGTGAGGTGCTTGATGAGATGGCAATGAGGTGAGGACGACGAAGGTGCGGTGGTAAGGCCACCGAATTCGTAGCGCAGGGTAGTTATACATATTTGTACATGCAAACAAGCATGCAGCCTGTTCGTTTGTTGGTTTCAGCCAACCCAAACCAGTCAGCCAACAGTATTTTTCTCTCACAACAAACCAGCACTAGCCAGCCTAAACCAGCCCAGAAACCAACTAGCAAACATGCCGATAATTTCTATTCAGCCTGGCTAGTTTCATACATTATTTTTTTGAGAATCGGCTAGTTTCATGCATCGAAAACAAACACAGGCACCTGCACCTGGTTAGCCTATCCTAGTCCAGCTTGTTTTTTTCGAGCCATATGAGCCACCTTGGTTCAGCCAATCAAACATGCCCTAGATAATCGCTAGGGATTTACCGATGGCCCCGTTCACTTTGCTGAAAAAATAAACCGAAACACTTGAGAGAAAAACACTGTTCCGGCTGAAAAAATAAGCTGAAAAATACAGATTATAAGACAAGCGAACACGGCCATTACGTCCAACACACGCTTGAGATGGGCCTAAGAGCATCTCCAAGAGTACCTAATATTTTTTTTTCCAAAAATATGTAGTTTTACAACTTCTAAAAATGTATCGGAAGAAATAAAGAAGACCATCTCCAAAAGTTTCTAATAATCCACTCCTAAAATATAGAAGACAATTTTACATCAGGAATCCTATACTATTTCTAAATTATCCTAACTACTTTTATATATTCATTCTCTCTTGTACATTCGCATCAGGAACTATTTCCTACTCTTTATTTTCTCCACATCCTTCCGCCTCTAGATTGACTGACAAAAACGCGTAGGAGAGAGAAGATAGGTGCGACTCGGGAGCGCGTAACTTTACGCGGAACAGGGTGACTTTTTCCAAGTTCTAAAAGATTAGGAAGATAGATTAGAAGTTGTTGGAGAGGGATTTTTTCTCATCTCGCTAAAAACTAAGGATTAGAAAAGAATGCTCGAATAAATCACAGAGGCGGCCTTATTTTCACGCTCATTTGAGATGATTAGCCGTCCAACCAATGCTGTTGTATAGACTATTCTAACGGCCCTTGGGCCCACCACCGTTCTACTAGTCGTACTACTACTATTACCAGAAAACAGTTCTAAAAAAAACTAAGCCTCTGTTTAGTTTCACCCTAACTTTTAAAAAGTTGCTACAGTACCTGTCACATCGAATGTTTGTGGCCCGTGCATTGAGCATTAAATGTAGACGAAAAGAAAAACTAATTGCACAGTTTGGTGGGAAATTGCGAGACGAACGTTTTGAGCCTAATTAGTCCATGTTTAAATACTATTTGCCAAATAAAAACGAACATGCTACGGTAGCCCCAAAATCCAAATTTCTGAAACTAAACGAGGGCTAACTACCAGAAAACAGTTCGCATGTCTAAATCAATGTCATATTGGCCCCTCCAGCTCTGACGAATCATCATCCGCTTGGCCGCTTTATTTCTCTCCCCGCTTCCGTGTTGCCTGCTGGCCGCCGGCCGAAGCGACAACCGAGGCCGCCGATCAGTTCCTCGTCGCAGGGTCTCCTCACACGAGCATCGAACCCTCTCCGCAGGAGCAGAAGACACTTCACTTGTTAAGGAAACCCTACCCTACTTGGACGAGCTGCTTCTCGTTTTGTTCTGCAGGCTTTTTTCTTCCATTGACGCCCGCCCACTTCTCAACCTTTCTTTCTTGGACGGATTTGCCGTCCAGTTTATTGTGGAATTTTGCCTGTGCGTGGAGGACAGGAGGAATAGAGGGAAGCCGGTCTATTTTCCAAATTTGCTAGGGGTTCAGTTGAACTTAACCCCTGACCCCATGTTTGTTCCGCCCCTTTCCGGCAAACTCTCTGAATCGGGCTATGCTGTGCGATTCTGCTTCGTTCCATGTTGGGGGTCAAATGATGGCTGCTGTACTTTACTTTACCATTTAAAATCCGGGTAAATGCAGTGTGCGAACAGTTCCTAGTTTCCTACTTCAGAGGTTGAGAGGTTACTGTTGCACAATTTGCATTGGTATAGATACCTGTTTAAGAAAGTGATTTTTTTTTCTTTGTTCGAAGCAAGAGAAAACTGGTTACCGTGAAATGTAGGCAATGTGCAGTGTGCTGTACGTGGTATTGCTTTCGTAGATGGATTAGGAGAAAACAACCTGCGAGCACCCAGGTTCAAGCGATCCCGGTGGTTGGCCTCTCAACTAGAGTCACCATTAAACTTATTTACACAGAAGACTCAAATAGATTTAGCCAATGGGGCACAGCAAGAGTATTATACAGGGACAGCTGGTCATGCAGACAGTGTACTGTGCATGGTATTGCTTCCTGAATGGATAAGGTGAAAACGACACTTCTGGGTTGCTTGCCCGCGACTGTAGTGCAACTCTGACAAGTAATCTTCAGAGTTCAGACAATATTACATAGAGAGGATGTTGCTATCTTTTTCTCTCATCGGTTTGTTTTGGCTTCACTTCTACTCACGCACCATTGCCCTGATCCAGTTGTTGTTTCCTATCCTTGCAGTTTTGTAAAACGTTGCTGAGGTTGCAGCATGTGTACTTGGGCATAGAGGGATTGTTACATCGAGTTAGTGCTTTGGTCTCGGCTGTAGCAGAGTGCAATGGGCATCTCAAGGGCTTGTTCGGTTTGCTGGTTGTTCCATGTGCTGCTTCTTATCTGTTCCTTGTGTCAGATACTTTATGTTGGATCAGTGGTGGCTCAAACTGCTCAGTTGACTGTGGATGCTTCACCTCAGAATGCTCAGACAATCCCTGCCAATATGTTTGGCATCTTCTTTGAGGTGAGTGTAATGTTTAACTGTTGTTCGTACATTGGTTTTATGTATAGTAACCTGTAGTAAATCAGCACATTTATCTTACCAATACCATGCCCTCTACGGAGATGCAATTCTAATGTTGGATCACTTAGTAGACCAACTCAATGAAGTCTTGTGCACTTGTCTAAAATGGTTAACTATCTATATTTGTGCTAAATGTCCATACACAATGAACTTCAGCTCACACAATATACAAGCTGAGTTAGGCTATCACATTTTCATGCATGGTTATTCAGGAGGGCAGCTGGGGCTTACTTTTCCTATAAACTATAGTATTATAATTTTGGAAAACTTACCTGCAGTGATACTAATCAACATAAACTGTTTCTTGATCACACCATTTCCTTTCAATTTTGGTTGTTTTACTTTGACAATGATGAATCTTGGTAATTCTTGAATGTACTTGTAGGAGATCAACCATGCGGGAGCTGGTGGATTGTGGGCAGAGCTTGTAAGCAACAGAGGTAATGGGAACTCAATGTCTAAGGTTGACCAGCAGTCCAGCACTTTGCCGGAAGAAAGTCTTGTTCATCATTTGACCCTCCTTTTATCTTCTGTTGACAAACAGTTTAAATGTTTTATCATCAGAGTGGTACTCTGTATCTGTAATAACTTATGGATAATATCCGGAAAACTACTTCACGATGGCACTGATGATCTTTGTTTGTGATAATCATACTGGTTTGTGTAGATTGTTAAAAGCAGACCTACTAGATGCTCAGAGCTCATTCTATCCAATGTCTCCATCAAAGGAGCTAACAATCATTTATAGCTACTTTTTTGTAGCAGAGATTTCTTTGTAGATCATAAGGAATAGGATCTCAAGAATGGGCTCAAGATTCACTCTTAACTTTTATGGCTCCTTACAAGTTTTCCTTTATGCTACAGGTTTTGAAGCTAGTGGTTCTAATACTCCTTCAAACATTGACCCATGGTCGATCATTGGGGATGAATCCAATATTATTGTGGCAACAGATCGGTCATCCTGTTTTGCTAGTAACCCAATTGCACTTCGAATGGAAGTACTTTGTGGAGCTAGTGGAACTAATGCTTGCCCATCAGGAGGAGTTGGAATCTACAATCCTGGTTACTGGGGCATGGTATGACCTTTATGTATTTAATAACACAATTTGTAGCTCCCCCCTTTATTATGGAATCTTCCATAACTTTTTTTCATCTGCCTGTTGAATATGTTTTTTTAGGAATTTTCACTTCGGTATTTTTTAGATTACTTACTGATGTCTTCTTATCCTTTTCTTTTTTTTCTTTTTCTTTGATGGATTAAAATTCTCTGTACTAAGTACTAATATCTGAGCCTACAAGAATACTATACATGAACATTTCTTCTCCCTTCTAGATTTGATAAATCCATAAGATAAGCTCATCTCCATTATAATGTTTGCTACAATTGTTGCAGAACATTGAAAGAACAAAGGTTTATAGAGTTACCATGTACATTAGGTCATCAGATTCGGTGGAGCTGACAGTTTCTTTAACAAGTTCAGATGGTCTTCAAAATCTAGCTTCTCATACAATCATGTAAGCAATATCTCATGGTTTAACTTATCAAGAGTACTTCATGTGCTGCTGTTGTGCCCATTTCAGTGAAGTAATAGAAGTGCAATATAAATTGTAGGGGAGACAAAGAAGATTTTGCTGAGTGGACGAAGGTTGAATTTGATTTGCAATCAAATTATATAAATACTAATTCAAGACTTCAGCTTACAACCACCAAAAGTGGCATAATTTGGTTTGACCAAGTATCACTTATGCCATCAGATACTTATATGGTAACTTAATTTCCAAATTCCCTTTTATCTTTTTGATGTTCCATAGGAAGATGATTCATACTTCCATACATTTCCCTTGCTACCTCAAAATAGTATGTGAGAAGCAAAATCAAAATTTATGTGCAAATTGCCTCATCACATATCCATACATCATAGCCTGAACTATAAGTTTAAGTAACTTTAATTTCTATATGCTGGAAAGAATTATTCTTGGTTTAGATAATGCTAACTGATCTTCATGAAACTGTGCTGTCCATGGATAGCCACTGTTATGTGGCTGCTAGGATTGAGAGGGAGAGAGTTGAGGGAGAGGCGGCGACGGTCGGGCTACAGTACCCGAGGCGCTACAGTGAAGCGGGTACTGTTTACGACCATAATTGTGGTGGCTGGGGCTGCGAGGGAGGCTGGAGGCCGGCCGGGGGCCTTGCCCACGGCCGAGCAAGAGGGAAGGGATTTCCTTCTTAATTCTTGCTTGATTAGATCGATACATCCCCTCTCCTTATATAGAGAGGTTTACTTGACTCCCAAGCAAGGCTTACTCGACCCTTAAGTAAGCGACTCTTATATCTAATTAACCCTAACACTAATGGGCTATACAGCCAACCTAGGCCCAATAGGCCCCTGATGTACTCTAACGCTACACCCCACCTGAACTTGCAGCTCGTCCTCGAGCTGCAACCTAACGAACTTATAACGCTGACTCGACTCCTAACACCTAAAAACAAGTCTTTTACATTTTGGCTTATTTTATTATTCTCAACCTGAAATGGACTGGGACTCTTTATTTTTGACTCCTGAACATAAGGTGGACACCATCCGCACGCCAAACCTGCATGTGTACAGCCTGCTGGATCCCATGGACACCATCTAGACGAAAGGGGTACATGTGTATGGCCACCTGGAAGTGGTCGTAACAGCGACCATGCGACGGCGCTACGCGGTGCGCTCTCGCTGGTGACCCCACGCCTTCTCCCCGCCAGACAGCTGCTGGTCTGCACCGCACAAAGCAGAGCAGAGGGCTTTCGATGAAGAACGAGGTGGAGGGATGCGCCTCCCCAACCGCCGCCCATAGGGAAAAAAGCATGCCCGCCGCCCGTGGGGGAAACCACATGCCCGAGATCCCCAACGCAGCGGACGAGATCGAGGTCCTCCGCGCAGCGAAGCGCAATTTGGAGGAGCTGCGAAGGAGTGCAGGGCTGAATCAGCTGCAGATCGCGCATCTCCCGCACCCGCCGACGTGCTAGGAGGCCGCGCGTAGCAGCCTGCAGCCGCACCGCAGCCGACACCTGGCGGGTAAGCATCTTCCCCGCCGACGTCATCGCGATGTCCATCGGCTGCTCGATCTGCTGCAACTTCTCGTCCGTGACTGGGATCTGCTGGGCGCCGGTTATGGAGACGACTATCGTCCCATAGCCTTGGCCAGTGTAGTGCGAGGCGAGGAAGGCCCTGATGCCCGCCACGGCCTGCCCTAATTCCAGGATTGCGGCGGCGGCGGGTGGGAAGAACTCGGTAGAGGGCTGGACATGATCGAACCAGAGATCTCTGATACCAGATTGTTATGTGGCTGCTAGGATTGAGAGGGAGAGAGTTGAGGGAGAGGCGGCGACGGTCGGGCTACAGTACCCGAGGCGCTACAGTGAAGCGGGGTACTGTTCACGACCATAACTGTGGCGGCTGGGGCTGCGAGGGAGGCTGGAGGCCGGCCGGGGGCCTTGCCCACGGCCGAGCAAGAGGGAAGGGATTTCTTTCTTAATTCTTGCTTGATTAGATCGATACATCTCATCTCCTTATATAGAGAGGTTTACTTGACTCCAAAGCAAGGCTTACTTAATCCTTAAGTAAGCGACTCTTATCTCTAATTAACCCTAATACTAATGGGCTATACAGTCAACCCAGGCCCAATAGACCCCTGACGTACTCTAACAGCCACCATGCAGTTATAATAGTTTGCATCCAAGTGTTTCTAAATACAAGCTGCAGCCTGCAGCCATCATAATAAAAAATTCATTGTGTGATGATGCATTACCAATTCAGCACCTGCTAAATTATGAGTTTCTATACACAATTCTCTTGTATGATTGAAAACTTAATCCTAATTAACACCAGAACAAAGGAAAAATATCTGATCCATAGTTAACTAAGATGTCAACTTCCAAGGACCTTACATTTCTCAATCTATCAGTGACCTTTATCTATCACTTTATTTCTCAGGGCCATGGTTTTCGTAAAGATCTTGCCTCTATGCTGGCAAATCTGAAGCCTCGATTTCTAAAATTTCCAGGTTTGTCGCATAGATTATCGTACTTCTGAGGTTCTTCGTATGTATAGGTTACACAATATTGTGAATAGTGTGCAAGTACTTGCCAATTACATGACTAGCAGTCATGTAGAGAATTAGATGCATATACCTTCCACATACTCTTGGCTCTTCTGTCACTGACAGTTGTGTATTTCTGTGGCTAATGTAAAATGTTTCACCATGCTAACTCAGAGTAACATAGCAGTAATCATTGTTGCAGCATGCATGGCATATTATTTCTCTATTTGCAGGAATTGGATGATGATAATGTAGAAAATATATGCCTTGTGTTATCTTTCTAAAAAAATAGATATTTTGAAAAGATGTGCCCTGCAACTATGATTATCAGTTTATTATTTTACTAAAATTGGTCTGTTACTAATCATGTAGTTTAACACACAATTTAAATATTTGCATCCACACCAAGATCAACATTTCTGTGATTGTGGCAGAACATTTCAAGAATCAAGAGAACAAAAGGAAGAAACTTCCGTAGATGATACTACATCTAGTATCACTCTTTTACTGGATGCAGGATGCATCAATTTGTACCCTCATGATATATTTTTTGTTTGTGTTTCTGTTACACAGATAAATCAAGAATGTTTACTAAGATAATAAATTATGTCTTTTTATAGGCTTGTAGTTAAACAGTGAGGTTGCTGAGAATTGACAGTATATTTGTCACTTTTAGGTGGCAACTATGTAATGGGAAATTACCTTATAAATGCATTCCGCTGGAGTGAAACTGTTGGACCATGGGAAGAGAGATCTGGTCACTTCAATGATGCTTGGGCCTATTGGACTGATGATGGACTTGGGTTTTTTGAATTCCTCCAAGTGAGTAACATAACATGCTGGTACTTGTCTAACTGAAAGTTCACATAACTGTGGATATAGCCCCTGTTGATTCTGAGACCTTCTATTTCACTGATGTAGCTAGCAGAAGACCTTGGCGCTTGCCCAGTTTGGGTTGTAAATGATGGTAACTGATATATCAACTTATCAAGAAAATATTAAAAAAGGCATAAAAACCATTACGTATTTGGAGAGATAATGTACCCTTGACTAGTTTGTTGGAATTCCTTTCAATGTGACAGGGGCCAGCATCTATCAAGAAGTTTCATCAGCAACAATAGCTGCATTCGTAAAGGTTTGTTCTTCAATATTTAATACGAAAATGATCCTTTTAGTCCCAAAAACTGAATTGAAGATGCTTAAACTCTTCAATTGACAAAGTTCATTTAATCTGCATTGACTTCTCTTAGTAAGTTTTCCCAGCATTAAGCTGAAGATCCTTTTTATGACAGGTTTAACTGTTAACTCTTTTTCCTTCACTGAACATCTGGTAGTCATAAAAACTTGTTAACAAATTTATCCAGCAATTTAATTTATTTATCAAATAGGGTTATCTGTTTTTTCTCGATGACGCAGGAGAGCTGCGTATCATTTTATTAAAGAAGAAAAGGGTAGGAAACCCTTACAAATAGGTGCTACAGAGAAATGATATATATGCTACATAGATAACAGCAAGATTACGAACTGAGGAATTCCAATAGTGGGGTTCTGCTAGCCAAAAATGTCGCACATACATAAGGAATGAAGTTTCCTAGAGCATATCAGCATATGGTTCCATTCTAAGAAACATTGTATTGTCGTTCAAATTTCTTCATGCTTGCCATGTTGCAGGATGTTGTTAATGGTATTGAGTTTGCCAGGGGAGACCCCGAGACTGCATGGGGTTCAGTTCGTGCAGCAATGGGACATCCAGAGCCCTTTCAGCTTTATTATGTTTCAATAGGAAATCAAGAATGTTCAAAGAACTATTATAAAGGTTTCCATGCAATTCCATTTTCCTCCTGTCTGGTTTCATAGCAATTTCCAATTTCTTCTGTTTCCTTTTATTGTTATGCCAAGAAAACCAATACTTGTCCCATTTTGCAGATAACTACGTGAAGTTCTATTCTGCAATAAAAACATCCTATCCAGACATCAAAATCATATCAAGCTGTGACAGATCTGCTATTTCACCAGTCAACCCAGCTGATTTGTATGATGTTCATGTAATGACTGTTTTGTTCGGTTTTCTCTTAGATAATAATTTTCCCAGTAGAGGTGACATCTGCTATGCTTCAGGTCTATACTTCATCAGGTGATATGTTTTCCAAGTCTAGAATGTTTGATAGCACAGCCCGTAACGGACCCAAGGTACTTGCTTTGCTTTTGCTACCGCAATTGTCATCCTTACAGCTGGCTGGTAATGTCCTACATAATTCGTATTTCGCAGGCAATTGTTAGTGAATATGCTGTGACTGGAAGTGATGCTGGCCGAGGAACACTAATAGCTGCTTTAGCTGAAGCTGCATTCCTCATTGGATTAGAAAGGAACAGGTTCGTTTTAAATTCTCTTTCTGGTTTGGCTCCTGCTTGATGGTAGATTGTGTTGCAGACTAATCTGTTCTGATTTGAAACTTTTTCTATGCAGCGACATGGTTGAGATGGCAAGTTGTGCCCCACTCTTTGTAAACGACAATGATCAAAGGTAAACATGAATGTTTACTTCTGCATGGTAACTGTGCTTGTACTGACGATTTCATCAATATTTGATACAAAATACTGCTCTGCTTGATAGGTGGAACCCAGATGCTATTGTCTTTAACTCATGGCAGCACTATGGATGTCCAAATTACTGGATGCTACACTTCTTCAAAGATTCAAGTGGCACTGCACTTCATCCATCCACTATTCAACTACCAAACTATGATCAATTGGTCACATCTGCTATCACGTGGAATAATCCACATGATGAGAACACTTACCTGAAAATAAAGGTGATCTCTCTCTTACTTAGGAACTTAGCTCTGCGAATAAAAATGAAAAAAAAATTAACTTGGCAAAGAATTCTTTTGCAGGTTGTAAATTTTGGAAGCCAAGCTGTCAATCTGAATATATCTGTGACTGGGTTGGAAACTGATATTCAGACATTTGGATCCATAAAGACGGTTCTCACGTCAGGTTGGCTACGGGATGAGAACTCCTTCCAACAGCCCGACAAGGTTTGATACTGTCGAGTGTCGACTTGATTCAATGCATGGGAAACTAAGAGCAACATGGTAGTGATTACGCCTTGAATTAGTTGTTGTGTTTGGATGTTTGAACTTTTGTGCTATAGGTGGTGCCGGCGGCAAGTCCAATAACCAACGCGGGCAAGCAGATGGGTGTTGTACTGAACTCATACTCCCTGACCTCATTTGATCTCCTCTTGGATTCGGACCAGACGGTGCCTTCAGTCTCAGTGTCGAGCCTCCATTCCAGCGTGTGATTCGTGTCAGATATATCATATATGTTTGCCCACAATACTCAATACCAATACGGGTCCCCCAAGGCTTCAATAGAAAATAAGAAATATGTGAATTATGAAGTACAGCTGGTTATGTATATGGATCGTTGTACACGAAAGTCAACAAACATGGTTTTAACAGCCGAACGACGTGAATTAAAGGGTTAATCTAGTACGTACATGAACTGGCTTTAATGATTTCCCAGCTTACAACATAACACATCCGTTGTAGTCTAGCTGGTTAGGATACTCGGCTCTCACCCGAGAGACCCGGGTTCGAGTCCCGGCAACGGAATTTTAAAGTTTCTTTTTGTTGCTTCCGCACTCTGACATTTCTCTTGTACCGATGCTCTTTAAGTAAAATCGTTTAGGTCCAACTATTCCGAACTTTTGTCCTGATCCACTACAGCTGAGTGTAGCGTATACTCCCTTTACTAAAATTATAAGACTTTTTGACTTTACTTAATAAATTCATAATTTTTGTTGTATATACTTGTCTAGATTTATAGTTCTTGTTATATATATACTTAGATATACACTATGTCGGTGGTTGTATAAGTCTTCAAATCTCCTCCACATCTCCTCTTGTCATCCCGACGTTTCCAATCCAAATTCAACAAAAGATCACGTTTCAAATAGTGCGCTTTAGCCATAGGATAGAGTCCAACTTCTGTATTAGAAGAGATGATACGATGGTTGCATAAGTCTTCAAACCTCAAGTCATCTAAATCACATGGCCATGTTCCCTTCATCCTAAAATGTATGTAAGCTTTTTTCTTTGACAAAAAAATGTATGTAAGCTTTCGGCTTATTCGCTGGTTGGTTTCTGAGCTGGCCGGTGCTGATTTATTGTGAGAGGAAAACACTGTTGACTGATTGATTTGGACTGAAACCAATAAGCGAACAGGCTGTTTGTTTTTCAAGAAGTCAAACGTTGTCAAGTTCAGCTACTGCAGATATGAAGTACTACTCTACAGGACTAATACTTTGGATTTTTGCAGCTGCAGAGGCTGTTGCAGCTAATTTAGTGCAGCTGATCAGACTTTTATTTTTTTTTGCGGGTTATCTCTACTTACTAGGGAAAAGGAAAACATCTTTTAAGAAAAGGGTCTGCCGACCAACATCTTTAGAGAGAAGGCTATTCTATCCATGCTCAATGCACGTGACAAGATGCGGCAGTGGTTTTCTGGTCAAGTTATACCGCTAATCACATGGGCAGGTAATCATGGCTTGCTTACCCATTTTTAGATCCCACTTCCAACCAACGGGAGGGCTATTTAAAACGCAAGCCGCCCCCAGACCCAGATTACTTTGGTCGCCTCCTTCCTAATCCCCGCCACAAGATTTTCCCTCTCCAGCCTGCGCACCACCGCGCACGGCCGCTGCCCTCCTCCGACCCCAACCCGAAACCCGCCATGTCACCGGCGCCGTCGCGCCCCCGCATCCGGCCGTGGCTGGTGGTGGGCGACCTGGCGCTGGCGGCCGCGTGGGTGTGCGCGGGCGCGCTGGTGAAGCTGTTCGTGTACGGCGGGCTCGGCCTCGCGGGGCGGCCCGAGGCCGAGGCCGTCAAGGTCTCGCTCTCCATCGTATACATGTTCCTCTTCGCCTGGCTCGAGGCCGCCTCGGGTGGGGCCTCCTACAACCCGCTCACCGTCCTCGCCGCTGCGCTCGCCTCCCACGGCGGACCCGCCGTGTACCTGTTCACCGCCTTCGCGCGAATCCCAGCTCAGGTGATGTTCCTGTACTACACCGCGATCGCGATCTGTGTCGTGCTTCTGTTTGCTGGATTTGGTCCTCGGTCAATCGATCGTGTGCATTTATCTATGAAGCTTATAACACTAACACCATCCGGAAATTTGGTTGAATGTGGTTGATCAACAAACTGTAGGTATGGAACTCGATAAGAAACTGAGCGATCGCCATGGCTAGTTATATAATTTGGTTGTCTCAAAACTAATCCAGTGTATTTCTAAAAGGAGATAACGCACAGGTTAGCTATTATTACCATATATATACACTATTGTAACATTCGTTCATCGCAACATGGCTGTTTCCTTCTAAATTTGATTAACTGCTTTGGCTGCATTTTTGTTTGTTAAATTTTGTTGTATTAGTTTTGGTTATCAGGTGATTGGGGCAGTTCTTGGAGTAAAGCTCATTCAGTTAACTTTCCCTAATGTGGGTAAAGGAGCCCGCTTAAGTGTTGGTGCTCATCATGGTGCGTTAGCTGAAGGCTTAGCAACTTTCATGGTTGTTATGGTATCGGTGACCCTGAAGAAGAAGGAGATGAAAAGTTTCTTTATGAAGACATGGATCACGAGCATGTGGAAGAACACAATTCATATCCTTAGCTCGGATATAACTGGAGGGATTATGAACCCTGCATCTGTAAGCCCTTCTACACATGAGGCATGACACATGTTTGATATACAAATGAACCTTTTGGATTTGAACGTTTATTCCTTGTGAATCAAACTGAACAATCTGAAAAATACAAGCACCAAATTTGTTATGATTCCGGCATTCCGTGCACCCTCCTAGTTTGCATACTGTTATACTTATACGCATGTATTATTGCATCGTATTATGACTGATTGAGTTATGCATTCTTCTCTTTGGCACTTGTCAAATATTATGTGATCTTGTACTTGCCAAGTGGATCATGCAGCGGAACAGTTCATATGATGGTGTGCCTAATAAGATGTCTTGCGTAGTGTGCATTCTTTTTTTGTTATAGAAGTCTTGAAAAGTTTGTTCTGCAACAGTCATTGTAGATTATGACAACTTGCTTCACGTTTAGATTTTTGCACCTGTTATACCTGACGTTCATTGTTTGTCTTGGTTCATGTAATTCTTGAAAATCAGTAATCCAAATTCATTTTTTTTTTCTGATTATTGCACGTTCTGGTATGTGCTTGTAGGCTTTTGCTTGGGCATATGCTCGAGGAGATCATACAACATTTGACCACCTACTGGTATATTGGCTGGCGCCCTGCAAGCAACCCTGCTGGGAGTATGGGCAGTGACCTACTTAACTAAACCCAAGAAGATCTAGGAGCAAGAAGCAGATGAAAACAAGACCAAGAAGGAATAGACTATTCTTCTGTTAGAGCTAGAGCTTCATACCATCGTCTTAGTCAGATAACTTGTGGAGCTATTGCTTCATTTCATCTTAACCACACAAGGTGAAATGTCTAATCTAAGAAATGGCAATCTATCATGGTCAGCTTCTGAGAAGTCTCCTTGATCTGTATTTCTCGTATCTGCCTTAGCTTAGATTGTGCAGAAGCTTGTAAATAACTGTTCCAGGCTTCCATTCAAGGCATTGCCATATTGGAAACGACAGTATATGGAAGTTAAAGCTTCTCAGAGTTGACTCACAGTCTACACTATTGCTCCACAACATTGTTGAGTATCTTCAGTTCCATTATCTATGATAATTGGAAATTGCAGTCTCGTCTACTTTCCAGGAAAACGAATTAGTGTGCGTTATTAATGATCGACTGCAATCTTTTTCTGGTGCATTTTTTTGTGTGTGTGTGTGTGTGTGTGTGGGGGCGCAGAAGTCTTCAAAATTCTGCAAATTCTTCAAAATTTGGTGAGGAAATTCCTGGATTTTTGGTGAAGTTCTATACCTTTTTTAGGAAAGGTGAATGAAAGAGAATATAATTGGTGGAGATTGTGTTGTATTACATTGGGCTTCATGGGCTGATTATATAGAGTACATAGGACTAACACCTCACGTGGTTAGACAATGTGGTACTATTCCTAATTACTCTAACATCCCCCTTGATCACTGGGGAGCGTCAGAGACGGTGAGACCGGAGAAGAAGCTGAAGCTAACATCCCCGCAGATCCATAACGATCGATGCGGGCGATATGATGTGGGTGGAGAAGAAGCCGATGAGTCCTCATGCAAGGCGGTAGCCTTTGTGCCGATGTCGAGGTAGCTGAGCGTGAGGGCGCAATAGCCGTGGTCGAAGAAGCCGTGCTGAAGATGGCCGAGGTCGACGTAGTTGTGGTCGGATTGCCATGTCGATGGAGCTGCAGGCGCGCGAGGGGCGCCATGATGATGACGGAGACGCGTCGAGGCAGTCGTCGTGGAAGGGGGCGGCGCAAAGTCAACGTGAGCCAAGGCCGTCGTGAGACGAGAAGAAAGGCGACGACGCAGCCGAGGAGACGGGTAGGAACGGGAGGGTCGATGCGAAGTCGATGCGATCAAGCCACCGTGCGCCGAGGCGTATGGGTTTGCCGCCCCAAAGAACGCGATCGGGGACTAAAGCACGCGTCGGTGTTGCCAATACCGGGCGTACAAGGTAGAGGGCCCCAACCACGGTGATGTTGTCGACGTGGTTGTGTTGGACGAAGAAGAAGTAGTGCGAGAGCAGACGCATCGGCGAGCAGGGCTCAGCGACGATGCGAGGGGTGCGACCGGCGAGCATGGCTCAGCGATGGCGCGGGTAGCGGCAGCTCGATGACGAAGATCCAATCAGCGGGGACCGAAGACCTTTATGCGGACGGATGGCGCGAGCAAAAAGAGTGCGCAGATATCGTCGATGCACAAGGGACGGTGATGTAGATGCAACGGCGAAGCGGACACATGGACAGCGGTGCTGCAGCCCGACGAGGCGACACGACAGCAAGCCAGCAGCCCTGTTGCTCGGAGAAGATGTGCAAAGTACTCGGCGATGGACGTCACGGGAGCCAGGTGGATCGTGCATAATCGGTTGTACGGACCGAGTACGCGCGAGGTGGAGCGACATGGAAGAAGACGGCGGAGGCGTCCCGATCAGTGGTGGTGATAACGAACCGACAATGTAGACATGCGGACTGAATGACTGAGAAGCGACGCGGGAAGGCGTCCCCTCGGCATCGCCTGCCCCGGCCAGGCCGCACAGTCGAAGATGTAGATGTCATTGTAGTCGATGTCGATGCCGAGTAGGTATGCGCGAGGTCGATTTGGTGATGGCGACTCAATCCCG